TTTTTTTTCATTTATCCTAATTTTGCTAACCTAAGCCAAAGACCTAAGTGGGCTTTTCTTTTCGGAGCTTGTCTGCTGTATATCGATAGACCTGTCTGTTGTCCAATTTTCACATTTATTATTTATCCCGGATCACTGCATCATTTGAACCAAACTTGACACAAAGCACACTTGAGTGAAGGGGGTGAGTTTTTATTTAACAAATGAAGGGCAATCCCTCTTCCATGGGGCCATAATTAAAAAAAAGGTATTTTAAAATCTTCTACAGAATCAGCAGACCATTAACGACAAAACTTGCATGAAAGCTCTAACGTCAGGATAACAAAGCGATGGGGGATACGATGGCAACAACTTTAGGAACAAAACCATAATGCAAGGAAACGGAAGTGACAAAACACGGGTGTAATAATATCCCTCCCTTGCCTGATCGCTCTGTAACAACGCAAAATGTAGTAAACTGAGACTATTACATTTTGTGTCGAGATCAACGCAAAATGTGATAACGCAAAATGTAATGATTTACTTTTCGGATTTTTACATTTTGGTTAATGTGAAATTTTCGAGAGGGTTAACTTTCATCCACGAATTCGTATCCACCAAGAAATGTAAAATGTCATATACATAACTACTCAACAATTCTTCATCCATGATATCAAATCCCCACAATTCCCCATTTTTTGTTCCAACCACGAAAATTTGACCCCACAAAAATATGTGATTTTACAGTATTACATTTTGCGTCGAGATCAATGCAGAATGTAATAATGCGAAATGTTATGACGCACTTTTGGATTATTATTACATTTTGCGTCGAGGTCAACGCAGAATGTAAAAAACGCAAAATGTAAAAACACTCTTTTGGGGATTATTACACCATGTGTTATTACATTTTGCGTCGACGTTAATAATATGGCAGAATGTAATTATCGATTATTATCTCCACAAATAAATGCATTTTTCACTGAAAGTGGCAATACGGTATATTGCAATCAATTGAAGTTTCTTTAGACAACCTTGTCTTCTTATCCAAAATATTCCTAATTTCCTGTCGGTATACGTTTTACATTTACTCCGAGGCAGAGTTTAATAAAACAAAATGTCATAATCCTTGTCAGTGGCCATAACAGAATGACCATATTTTCGAACATTTGAAAGTTTCCTTGTTTTCATTCATTGTTCTTAATAAATATTTCTGACACTTTCAGTCAAGAAAAAAAAAAGACGTCCACATCTGTATACAGAGTTGATGTATACGAAAGCCTATTAGGATCAAACTACGGTAAAAAAAAATTTAAAAGGCGTTATAACGCCTTTTGAAAAGGCGTTATAACGCGGAAAAAGGCGTAATAACGCAAGTAAAGGCGTAATTACGCCTTTCCAAAAGGCGTTATAACGCGAAAAAAGGCGTTATTACGCCTTTCCAAAAGGCGTTATTACGCCTTTCTAAAAGGCGTTATTACGCCTTTCTAAAAGGCGTTATAACGCCTTTCTAAAAGGCGTTATAACGCCTTTCTAAAAGGCGTTATTACGCCTTTCCAAAAGGCGTTATAACGCGAAAAAAGGCGTTATTACGCCTTTCCAAAAGGCGTTATTACGCCTTTCCAAAAGGCGTTATTACGCCTTTCCAAAAGGCGTTATTACGCCTTTTTAAAAGGCATTAATACGCCTTTCAAAAAGGCGTTATTATGCCTTTTGAAGGGCTATTATTATGTCTTTGACAGGCACGTGCTTTTAAAGTGGGGGGGGGGGGGTTGTCCCATAAAATTGACATGCAAACAAAAAAAAACAAGACCCCCCCCCCCCCCCCGAAAAAAATAAACTGCCTAAACTTGAGGGGAAACTTTTTCTAATTAATTTTTCGGTAAAACTTTTTTTAAATGCAATGACTTGCCCGAGTTTAACCGTACTGCAACAAAATGTTAAGGGACCAAGCAATCAATTAATGATTTTTTATATTTAAACTATAGCAAGACTATTCTCCCAAAAAGTGGGGTGGGGACCCCCCCCCCCACTCACATTCGTACTACCGGCCTGTTTGAAAAGGAGTTGTATCCAAAAATGGAAAGGCGTTATTTTAAAATAGTAAATATATGAAAGATTGAACCAAAGCCATCTTTATTTATGCAATATTTAGATTATAGTTTTAATATTATAAATTATATTATAAATTATAGCATTTTCTATATTCCTGCACATCTCGCAGACAGTTGTTTGCATTTTGCATGCATATTAAGAGAAGTCAACACTCTACTTTTGAAAATCCAGGATATAGACAGAACCAGCTTTGGGCTTTGCTAGCCACGTATTAAAAATTCATGTCAAATTTGAAATATTTTTCTCTCCTCTTGGTAAAAAACAGGCAAAGTATTTGCATAGGTATAATGAGCAATTAGCCTTCAACTAAATTTCTGAAATCCATACACCTTGGTAGAAGCGTCTGGCATCAGAGAAGGACTAAGTTGGTTTAACACTGAAAATATTTTACACATCTAAAAATCTTTTTTCCTAGAAATCTAATTATAATCAGCCCCCAGGGTGGGCTAAGTAAGTCATGTATTGAAAAAAAAGAGGCGTAATAACGCCTTTTTAAAAGGCGTAATAACGCCTTTTGGAAAGGCTTAATAAAACCTTTTGGAAAGGCGTAATAATACCTTTTGGAAAGGCGTTATAACGTCTTTTGGAAAGGCGTAATAACGCCTTTTAGAAAGGCGTAATAACGCTTTTTGGAAAGGCGTAATAACGCCTTTTGGAAAGGCGTAATAACGCCTTTTAGAAAGGCGTTATTACGCCTTTTTTCGCGTTATAACGCCTTTTGAAAAGGCGTTATAACGCTTTTTAATTTTTTTTTTTACCGTAGTTTGATCCTAATAGGCTTTCGTAGATGTATAAAGGTGTGGTACGTCTATTTTAAACGGAGTTTTTCTTGACTGGAGTGTCATAGTCTTATTTTAGCAACTTTTAAGTGTATTTAAAGTAGATTCAGAATTTTATTATTTTACATTTAACAATCCGGAAGACAAGCCCCTGTGGTTTTAGAGGTCCGTGTTTGCTCTGCTCCTGATTTGTATTGTTTGAATGGACTTTTGAGCTTGAATAATGAATACTGTTGGTTATCTCCATGTTTCATTTCTAATTCCTATTCTTTTATCATCATTTCTCCCTTGCATTGTTACCCTGGCAATATCAGACGTATCCCGACCCAGTTGCGCTATCATTTTTGTTCCCTCATTTTCAATGTTGCCATTATAACACTAATCCTATAAAAAGGGAGGCTTTAAATTCGGGGGTATATAGTCTTTGCCCTCTCCGTCCGTTTGTCTGTTTGTCATTGCTCATAACTTTTGATTGGTTAGAGCTATAGCTTTCATAGTTCACTTGTGTATTCCTTGTGACAAGACCTTTCTTTGGGTACCATCATATTTGACCTTTTGACCTTGACCTTGGAGTTTGACACAGTTTTACAAAATTTTACCCCACTTAAACCTTGGCCATAACTTTTGAACAGTTGGTGCTAGCAGGGACCTATATACTAACGGGATAGGCAACTCCTTCAGCGCCATGTTTATTTGCCCAAACCAGCACACACAACACTACAAGTTTTTCAAACTACATTTATTCCCAATTAAAAGTTTGTTTTCTGATAAATGATATCTGTTCTTTTTGTTTGTTGGAATGGATTTTTAATAAATTTAAAACCATACGTCGTAAAATAATCTAAATATAAAGAATATAGGTCCCTGGTGCTAGGGCTTTAATACTTCACCTGTGTAATCCTTATGACAAGGCCTTTCTTTAGATACCAACACTTTTGACCCTTTGACCTTGACCTAAGAGTTTGACCTACTTTTGGTGCTATGGCTTTCATACTTCACATATGTAATCCTTGTGACAAAATCTTCCTTAGAATACCAACAACTTTGACCTTAACCTTGGAATTTATCCTACTTTTGGAAAACTTTAACCTTGACCAGAACTTTTGAACAGTTGGTGCTAGGGCTTTCAATCTTCACATGTGTATTACTTGTGACAGGGCCTTCCTTCAGGTGTCAACAATTAGAGCCCATTGACCTTGACCTTGCAGTTTGACATACTTCTGGAAAACTTTAACCTTGGCCATTACTTTTGAGAAGTCCTTGTGACACAACCTTCCTTTGAATACCAACAACTTTGACCCTTTGACCTTGGAGTTTGACTTACTTTTGAAAAGCTTTAACCTTGGCCATATCTTTTGAATGGTTGGTGCTAGGGTTTCCATATTTCACAGGTGTATTTCATGTTAGAAGGACTTTTCTTGGGCATCATTAATTTTGACCATTTGACCTTGACCTTGATGTTTAACTTACTTTTGAAAAACTTTAACCTTTTCCATATCTTTTCAATGGTTGCTGCTAGGACTTTCATATTTCACACTTCACAGATATATTCCTCAAGACAAGACCTTACTTTTGGTACCAACATATTTGATTCGCATTTGAGAAAGTTTAACCTTAACTTTAAGTTGCCATATGGGGGCATCAGTGTTTCACAAACACATCTTGTTCTTCTACTAGTATTACTACCAACCCAATTTGTTATCAATTTGTTTCCAATTCATATTAAGTCACATAGTTTTGTTTGAACACTGATTTTTTTTTTTTTTTTTTTTTTTGTACAAAGGAAGAAAGGCAAAGAGAGATTACTGTTTATTGATATAAAGTTTTTTTAAAACAGTATATTCATGCATAACAAGTGAAAATAAAATAATTTAATGCATAAAAAATAAATCCTCTAACAGATCATTTACTGTATCCCATGTGACTAAGACATCAGCTGTTTGGCATAAAGTACAGGTAAAATAGAGAATAAATGCCTAAATAATGAGTAAATGTAGACATCAGAATTTATATGGGTAAGCTTGCAAACATCAGCAGGTAAATGTACAAATCAGAAAAAATGTAATTTTCTGCAAATCAAAACAAACAAAAAAAGTAAGTTACATATGGGAAATTGGAATCAATAAATATATATATATATATATATATATATATATATATATATATATATATATATATATATATATATATATATATATATATATATATATATATACATGTATATATTTAAATATAGTTAATAACAAAGATAAATGTACACATTAAAAAGAGAAATGTATACATAAAAAAAGAGAAAATAAAACCCAGATACACATAGGCATAAGCTTACCCTTCAACAAGAAAACATAACACTGATTACCTGTATTACATTGTAATGAAGCTGGAAGCACAGTTGTTTGACATGAGGAAGGATGTTTAATTGCACATTGCATAGATATAGACATGATAGAGTTTTAAGAGAATACTCTACACTAAAAGTCACAGGAATCCCCCAGAGCACTTGGTACTAAATTTGTACTGGAGAGAATCCAGTGGAGCAGAAAAGCCATTATTTATTTAAAACCTCGCCCTGTTAATGTTATTATCATTATTATGACTGGAATCATCGTCGGATACCCACAGGTGATCTTGTCTTTTACTGATCATGTGATAAGTAATTAAAAGACAAGATCACCCGTGGGTATCCGACGAATGGCGTCAATGAACTGGAACTAACCTCAAATTATAAGAAATATACCTGATGGTAAAATTTTGTTTCTGATGACTAAATAATTCAAAATATTTATATTTTAATAAACTACTGAATAAATAATTGTAACTGTAAGAATCACTCCTGTGTGTGTGTGTGTGTGTGAGGGTGTGTGAGGGTGTGGCAGGGGGTGGGGGTGCCTGAACTCCAGCTGTGTATTTCATATCAATGCCCTGATCTAATAAACACATGTAAAGTAAATTTTGTATAACTAAATACAGCACTTTTCATTCTCAAACTGTCATAGGACATATTATACACATACATATTCAATTATACATGTAACCTTGAGGACAAAGTGAATGACTTTGGTTGTCCATATCAAATTGAATATATACATATTTTAAAGTATTTTAAATTCTTTACATTAATCATGAAAACTGAACCACATTCAACATTACCAGTGTTACCTACATGTAGTTGTCAGTGATGAAAGTAAACAATGGCAGTAACTGCAGCAAATCCAAGAAGTAAAAATATGACCTTTAACAACCTTGAGTCACAATTATTGAATTCATGAGGTAGGACTTCAAAGAATGTAATGTACAAGAATGTTCCACATGCAATGCCCTGTAAGATTCCCTGAACTAGATTAGATGCTTTCGAATCCCACAAGCGAATGATCCCAATTCCAACACCGACACCAATAGGTGCCGAAATAGAAAACAGCAATACAGACTTTATTGCTCCTTTCAATGTCATTTTACTTTGGGCAACATTCATTCCCAAACTGAAACTAAGAATGCTTTTGTGAAGAGCAAGAGCTGCGAAGATCTGGATTACTTGATCTGTTTCTTCCTGTAGTCCTACGGCTAAACCCTCAAACAAGGAATGTAAAGATAAAGCCAGTAACAAGAGCAAGGATCTCAACAAGGAGTGTTCATGTGGGAATTCGATTTCATGTGAGTGTCCATGTGATTCACTGCGTTCTTCATCATCTGACAATGCTGCACCATTATCCAGTGCTCTGGAATTTCGTCGAGAATTCTGAAATGGTTGATCAGTTATCCCAGAAATCGAATGCTCACTTCTGACGGACTCTGTCAAACTTTGCTGTCTCTCAAGTATATCACTAGAGTTTGCCAACAACGGCGTTTTTACAGATCCTTGGTTTTTTATTTGGTTTTCTTTGTAGGTTAAAACAACTTGTTCAATTCCTAAAATGGCAAAGAGACCAAAGCTCATGACAAACTCGGCAATTGGAAACTCTGTTTCAGCTTTCAGTGCCTTTAATGCTGTTGTTAAACTGCTCCGCACTCCAGGTAATAGGTCCAGCACAACTGTGGCCAGAAAAACGCCCGCAGCGAAACAGTTCAGTAAACTAATCGTTCTCTTATACACAATCTGTTTGTGTAGATCTACACTACTGCCACTCCGTTTTCGGACGTAACTAACGATTTTGAGTGGTAAAAGGCCTAATATAACAGTCAGTAAAAATAAACCAAACAAAATTAACACTTTCACACTTATAATATCCATCTTTTCTTGCGACTTTTGTCGCACAACTGTACAACCCTAACGCCCCAAATTGATCACCCTTTCGTCTCCATTTTGTAACGTCACATGACTGTGAATGTATATAATTACCGAAACAATTTGAAGTATCGTGCGGAATGCCGGAATCGTGCGCACATTTTTTCGTTACGTGTGCATTGGTTGCAACGTGACAATCATATGATCAGATGATGTGGAAAATATATTGGCATTCTAACGTTATCGAAATAGCCTGTTTATTATATAAGTCTGTGAAAATTTTGAAGGTAAACTAATTTTAAAAATAACATATATGAAGGTTAACTTTATTTAAAATTATAAAAATTAACACAAAAAGATCATTACGTTACACTATATCCCCCCCCCCCCCATCTTATAATGACATAAAGACTTGTTAATTTTATATATTCCCAGGCCCGTAGCAACGTCTTCAAAATGGGGGGGGGGGGGCAACTTCCCAAAAAAATCTGACAAGCCAACCTTACAACATCAAAAAAGTGTGTGTGGGGGGTGGGGGGGAGCACCTAAAGGAAAATTTACTATAGCAAAATACTATACTCAGAAAAACGCGGGGAGCCCCCCCCCCCCCCCCGCGTTCTACGGGCCTGTTTGCCGATTGCTTTTGAAAGAATCTTGAAACTTTGCTGTGGACTCAGAAAAACATCAATTAAGAGGAATAGAGCTAGAGTACATGTCAATATAAACTATTTCAAATGCGCCATTGTCCACCCCACCCCTGGCGGCCCACCCCCAGGCCTCCCAGAAGCTCTTTGGAACAAATTTATTGTTTCTCGTTGGGTATGAATATCCTTCCTATTTAAAAAGCAATTCAGACCTCCGACCTCCAGTATATCCACTAAGAGTTTGCTCCAAAGGGCTTCTGTGAGGCACGGGGAGGGGGATAGGTGGTGGGAAGGGAGTACATAAGAAGTATCATTTTCATCTTTAAACACACACAATTAACAAACATGCACGCTAAAGCAGACTGCATTCGCGACATTTCCTGGCACTACTTTGCACTACTTGTACTTTGCTAAACTGAAAAAAAAATTGTGTGAAAATCTTAAATTTATTTTTTTATTCAATTTATTCAGTTGATGATGTACCTCATTGTCTAATTTAAAAAAAAAATGCGTCATTTCTAAAGTACTGATCAATACTGGTAGTATCGGTTTATGTTTATGTGTCTGTACATTTATATTGTGAATATGTAGTTTATCAACTTATGTTATAAGGCCATCCTTAAAAAAAATTGTTTGGAATATTGCCGCCTGGTGGGTTTCAGACCCTGGAGGAAGGGAGGGAATTTATTTATTAATTTTTTATTTCAAAATTGAAGTTAAAGTTAAATCTGTTGATAAAATCTCAATAAACAGTGAACACATTATTTTCTGACTTTTTGTAAAAATTATCTCCCATCAGTCAACCTAAATCTTGCTTTAAGTTTTGGTGTTTTGCTTAGAGCTTCGTTTTGTGATAACAGACCAAAAGTTGATTTTCAAGAGTGTGTATATATCTTGACTTATTCAAATGAAATCAAGTTTAAATATACATATATAGACATGCATCCATGTATGTTTATGTCTTTTAGCAGCTGTTTAGCACATGTTAAACAGCTGTTAAATAGTTTCCTGAACATTCCAAAATGTGATGCATATTAAATATTTCATTTTAAATGACATATGTTCGAAAAATGGTAAAATCTGAACAGAGATACTCGAAAATGAGCATTTATTTTTTTTACTTTGACTAATAGTCAAATTTAATATATATTAAATTAAATAGTGAAGTTTACTAAATGTCAGTGTGAAACCGAAATTCTTATGGGCCGAATTAACCTTATGCCGAATTAACCTGATCAGAGCATGCGCAGTGAGTGTGTGGGATTTTTTTAAATGAAAGCCGCGTAATAAAAAGGTAAACACGACAAGATAAGTACGTTCGGTATGATATCAATTATAGAATACGTACATTTTGTAATGATGAATGAACTTTAATGATGTGTTAGTATTGAATTGAATATATTACCTCAAAAAGAAGATTGGTTTAGCATGTTTAGTATATCTGGGCATACATGCAAACAATTTACTATGTTTTAAAGATGCTCATCTTTTGTTTAACTTCACCTTTAAGTTATGCACTTTGGATCTAACTTTAGTTTGACTTTAAGTATTTGAATTTAATTATGTTATCTGTTTGATGTCGTTTATGAATCATTGATGTCTGCACAAATTTTTGATTATTGGCATTTGCACCTTGTTAGAATAGAAGTCAAGTTCTTTTGTAGTTGAAACATGCTATTTACAATTAGTTTTAGGGAGTGAAACAGATCATGGGTGTCTGGGTCTTTATTCACATATCAATACAGTGTTTTCCCTAAGAACCGGCTACAGGCCAAATTAACCACTTCAATCAATTGATAAAAATGCTGCATAGAAATAAAAAAAAAACTTCTAAGGTCCACAAAGATTTTGTTCATAAACCTCAACCCATAGCTTGGTACAACTGATCTCTAAAGGGAAAACACTCTGAATTTATGTTTGATACCTTATTAGGCCCGTAGAATGCATACCTCCCTCCTTTTCTGAGTATAGAAAGATAATGTTTCCTCCCTCCCTCCCACTTTTTGTTGTTGTAAGGTCTAGCACCAGTTAATTCCAGGATATGGACAGTTAAGGATTTTTTGCACACTTATTATTTGTATTTTAAAAATGTTGACAGCCACAAGATGAGTTGGCTAACAGATGAATGGAAGGATGGGCTTCCCTCTCGAGCTCTTCAGAAGATATCTCAGATTGAGGCTCAGCTAGAGAAGCTGAAGAAGGAACGAGAACAGAAGCAGTTCCAGTTTGAGAGCTTAGAACAGGTTCTTTAAACATTCTTTATATAGCTTAAACATGTTAAAAGTGAACAAAGGTGTTATTGTATACATGCTAATTATATCCCCGCTCCGAAGGAGAGGGGGGTATAATGTTTAACCCTTGTGTGTCTGTCTGTCCGTCCGTCCGTCTGTCCATAACAAATTTTTCGTCACAGTTTTCTCAGCAACTACTCATTGCAGATGCTTGAAATTTTAGCACACTCTTTCTTTAGGCATGCCATATGGTGGGATTCATTTTTGTACAATTCCGATGTCAACTTCCTGTTTATCCATGCATCTGTCTGTACCATTACTAACAAATTTTTGTCGCAGTTTTCTCAGCAACAACTGATTGCAGATGCTTGAAATATTAGCACACTCTTTGTTTAGGCATGCCATATTGTAGGATTCATTTTTGTACGAATCTGATGTCAACTTCCTGTTTATCCATGCGTCTGTCCCTACCATACATAACAAATTTTCCTCGCAGTTTTCTCAGCGACTACTGATTGCAGATGCTTGAAATATTAGCACACTCTTTGTTTAGGCATGCCATATTGTAGGATTCATTTTTGTACAAATCTGATGTCAACTTCCTGTTTATCCATGCGTCTGTCCCTACCATACATAACAAATTTTCCTCGCAGTTTTCTTAGTGACTACTGATTGCAGATGCTTGAAATTTTTGCACACTTTTTGTTTAGGCATGCCATATTGTAAGATTCATTTTTGTACGAATCTGATGTCAACTTCTTGTTCATCCCTGTGTCTGTCCGTAACTGAACTTGTGTACATTCACATCAGAGTGTAAATTCACATCAAAACGGGGGTATTACTAGTGAGCATTGGCTCACAGACTTCTTGTTAAATTTTTTTATTAGGGCTGGGACAAAGCACTTTCTTCTATAATGATACATTTCACAGCATTTATGCCATGATACTTTTTAACTGGTTATGAAATTTTCAAAATATGTATAAATTTTTCATTTTGGGTCATCCTTATCAAGAAATTTTTGTTTAATGTACTTTTTTGATGTTTTCAGTACAAGATATACATGGGACAGTTAGACAGATTTAATATTTATTGCTCTAAAAACTTTCAATGTAAAAAGCATCTTTGAGAAATGATAAAACTTAACTTTAAAAATGATACGGACAATCTGTTTTTCCCTGGAAACAACAAAAAAAAAAATAATAATAAAATAAAAATAAAATTTAAAGAACTGAAAAAAATGATTGGGTAGGGGTGATTTTGATGGATCAGTCAGAGTACATCAAACAATCATTTTTTATTGTTGGCCTTGTATTGAATTAACATACCTTCACAAATAAGAATAATTTATTCATAGTGAGTGTATATGCATTGTAAATCATATATTATGAATAAAAGTGGTATTACTTATTATATAAATGTGGGTCATATTGTAACAGATTGAAAATTAAAAAAAAACATTTGTAATTTTGAGAACTATTGGGATAAAAAATTCTCAAAATTATACTTTAATGAGTTAATAACAGTAAGAGATATTCACACCATCTGAGACTTCTCAACCTATGTCAAGTCCTTGGACTTGGAGCAATCCCTATTCTAAATGCAGAGTCCGAAATGAAATTTACCAAATCCCAGATGTCAGGCCTTAAGGAATTTTGAACCCCTTTACAAACTGTGTCTGGTTCAAAGAACATGAATGAGTCTAGTACCCAAACTATTGTTTGTTTAATTTTGCCATGGTATGCAAGCAATTGACTAATTGCTTTACAAAGAGAGTCTGGTTGAAATAACATGAATAAGTTTAAGACATGTCTAGATGTCATAATGCTGTTGTTTATAATGCTACAACTCAACTTCACTAGCCTCTGCCATGTTGTAAAAAAATATGAAATCTTGATAGAGACTCTCCTGAAAAGAAACTCTCAATCCTGAACATAAAACTGAACTAACCCTGGCCCAAATTTTCTCAGTAGCTAAAATTTGAGTTGCATTAATTTCAAGTCGCAAAATCATTTTTTCTGGTGGCAAAAATGACCACTTCAGTGACAACTTGGAGCATGATATATATTTTATATTTTAAACCCAAGTGTAAAGTAAAACAAAGAAAAATTAAGTCTGAATAACATTTTGTTTTCGTATCAATATTACTACAAACGTATCAATACCCCTATCGTCCTCATACAGAATCAATATTTTGATACATGTATATTGTCCCAGCCCTGTAATTTAATACATTAATGTTTAGGTTGCTCAAACCACCCATCCCAGAAAATTACTGTTGATTTTTAATTTTTTTATAGCTTAATTTAAGATTAAATGCTGATGTGCATATAAATCAGTTTGCCACTCATGAAATATGAACATTTCAGGCATTACAAGTACAAAAGAGAAAAGTGGAAGAAGAAAAGAACAATCAGTCATCGTTGAAAAGGGAAAACCAGACTTTATCTGAGTCGTGTCAAGATATAGAAAACAAGCGACAGAAACTCGCCCAGGAGCTACAATCTAAAGAGAATCAGATTTCTTGTCTGGATGGCAAACTCTCACACACCAAAGCACAACTAGACACAGAGACTGCCAAAGTAAGAACATTTATTTACTTTGGGAGGAGAAAGGTTAAAACTCCATGTGACATTGAGGGAATATTTTAATATATACAGTTGAACTTCGGTATCTCAAATGTCGATATGTGTTGAATAATATAGATATGACAAAGTTACGGTAGTTGGAAGACCCTTCGATTACAGGGGCATAAAACGCGCCAGTCATATGGACTGACAGCGATGCTGTCTTTACCAATCACAAGCATTTTCAGTTGGTCTTGCCAGCATGACTGGCAGTTTTCCATGTCTCTAATGGGAGAATTTTTTGTACTTTGAGTAAATGTAGATTACCCTAACCAATAAATACATTTATTTCCTATCTAGCTTGTAATACGAGATTTGATTGGTTTGCAAGTTGGATGAACATTTCCGTACACCTGGCTTGAGCCAGGGGCAAATAACATGATGTCACAATGTATTGTAGCATGTAGTAAATCTTATTGATAGTTTGAAACCTCATTGATTGGACTTTGTTTTACAACAAATTTATTTGGATACATAGGAAATAAATAGGTTATCCAGGTCCAATCAAGAGTATATGGTTTGGTGATTTACCCCAGGTTGTATTCCATACACCCTTCAACCTTTGGCCTCAGGGTGTATGGAATAAAACCTGGGGTAAATTCCCATGCACCATTGATTGAACCTGGATAACTAATAATGTCCACATTTTCAGTACTGTCAAATCGGGTGTCATGGCTAACAATCTAGACCAAAGTTTTCAACAGAAATTACTTTATCTCTGGTTATTAAATTTACTTTAAATAAAACAGGATGAGACCAATAATTCCATATTCTCAGGTAAATCAGCTCCAATCTGAATTAGAACGGCTACAACGAGAAAATGATGAGCTTGTTAAGAAGATGGAGAAAATCTCTGGTGACCATGGGAAGTTGCAGGAATACAGTAAACAACAAAAAGGTCAGCTTGACCATCAGCAGGAGAAGATCCGCGCTCTGGAGATGGACCTTAAGAGGCTCGGGGATAACTGTGACAAGATGCCGAACACAGGATCAGCAACCTCTACTGGTAAAAACTAACGTTACTTAAGTTTGTTACTTTAGTACCTACCACAGCGGTGGTACAGGTAAGAGAGTGGTATTACATCTACCACTTTAAGTTGTCGTCATTTACTAATCAACAAGTATATTTAATTAAGCTGGGACCATGTTCTAATACATTCACCTATTTTTTTTATGAAGCTATGCAATACATATTTCATTACGCAGAGTCCAGCATAATATGACTGAATCATGATTGCTGAGTTAAAGGTGTAAAGTTTTAAATAATTGGTAATTTTCTTTAATGTACTAGATAAAGATATGAATACCTTTTTAAAAAAGTTTGAATAATTGTACATGTAATATATTAAGTATTGCAATCAATGTATTGTGGTAAGCAATTTATGGCAGTCCAACTCTTTGTATTGAAACACTGAAAGGTCATAAATAATGACCTGAGATTTTTCACATAGATATTATGATTTTCTCCTAATGAACATGTTGAGTGGTGTATTATAGTCTTAAAACTTTACATTGTCACTTTATCTTGTATTGACCACAAGCATTGTTAAATGAACATGTGTATAATATACATGTATCATTTGGTTTGTGTTTTATAGCCAGTGATAACCTACTACAACTGGAAATCAAGAAGTGGAAGGACCTCCATGAACAAGATCTGACAAAGATTGAAAACATGAAACTGGAGTATGATACAATGGCAAAACAGGTGAAATATTTCACTTTGTCAATAAATAATTCCCTCTACAGAGTAGAGTGGTGTGTTTTGTTAAGTCATATACATATAGAACAAGTGTTTTCTGATCTTTGTTGTGCTTGATAATATCTCTAATTCCTCAATTAGTAGGTCAATAATGGTAAAAAAAACAAAAAACAAAACAAGATGTGTTTGTGAAACACTGATGCCCCTGTATGGCAACTTATAGCAAAGATTAAACTTTCTCAAATGCAAATCAAATATGTTGATACCCAAAGTAAGGTCTTGTCTCGAGAAATAAACCTGTGAAATATGAAAGGCCTAGAAGCAACCATTGAATAGATATGGAAAAGGTTAAATTTTTTTTCAAAAGTATGTCAAACATCAAGGTCAAGGTCAAATGGTCAAAACTAATGGTGGCAAAGGAAAGGCCTTCTCCCAAGAAATACACAGGTGAAATATGAAAGCTGAAGCACCAATCGTTCAAAAGTTATGGCCAAGGTTAAAGTTTTCCAAAAGTAGGGCAAACTCCAAGGTCAAGGTCAAAATGTCAAATCTGTTGGTATCCAAAGGAAGGTCTTCTCACAAGGATTATACATGTGATATATGAAAGCCCTAGCACCAACTGTTCAAAAGTTATTGAAAAGGTTAAAGTTTTCCAAAAGTAGGTCAAACTCTAAGGTCAAGGTCAAAGGGTCGAAGTTGTTGGTATTCAAAGGAAGGTCTTGTCACAAGGATTACACATGTGAAGTATGAAAGTCCTAGCACCAACTGTTCAAATGTTATGGCCAAGGTTAAAGTTTGGTAAAATTTGCAAAACTGGGTCAAACTCCAAGGTCAAGGTCAAAAGGTCATATATGGTGGTACCAAAGGAAAGGTCTTGTCATATTGTCAATAGTTATGGGCTAGGTTAAAGCTGACAACAGACAGACAGGAAAAAAACAATATACCCCCAGGATCTTTCGATCTGGGGGCATAAAAAAACTTTAAATTATATCATAGCCATGTAAAGTTAATTTTTTTCTGTAATAGGCAGAAGCACAGATTGAAAAATTAAAGGAAGAACTGAGAAAAAGCCATTCACAGAATACTGAATCTCAGCTAAAAATTGACAACTTAAATCTACACCAACAGAAAAGTCAGTCTGCAGCCCTAGGAGTCCCACAAAGCCAGAACTCCTACAATAAACCTCAAAACGGACACCACAGGGATAATGATATATTTGGAACTTCTCAGACACAGAGCAAACCTAGGAATGACCATGACATCTTTGGGACATCGAAATCACAGAATGGAGGCCGACATCAACAAGTCTCTTGTCTACCAGGTATCAGCTGTTTTAACAAAAAAGAACAGTTTAACCAATAGGTTGGACTTTGGGAATGGTTGAGAAATGAGATGACAAAAGCCTAACCTTTCAATCAGAGAAAGCATGCACCGACCAAATCCTGTGAAATTTATGAGGCAAATGAAATAGATACATGTACATCACTATTTGATGAATGGGTGGGGCACAGATATAAGTTTATCACTGCTTCCTGAGGTCAAAACTATCTCTAAAATTGTTAAACCCAACACTTTAAAGGGACATAATCTATGAAATGGACTTCAATGTCAAAAACTTCATAACTTTGAATTGCTTTGAAAAACTATGACATTTACATGAATGTCTTTGAATTGGTAATAAGATTTTGAAATTGGATGGTTAACTTACACTTACATGTTATATGTTTCTTTTTCATTAACAACATTGTACTCTTTGACCAGGCAATACCACAGGCATATCAGATTGTGACTGGAAAACTAACGTACCTCCCCAGGGACAGAAGTTTTTACAACAGTTGGAGGGACAGGTGGAGAAAATGAAGAAGGAGAGAGACCAGAAACAGTTCCAGATTGACAGTCTGGAGCAGGTAGAATCCCCACCACAGAGGAACCTCCACTAATAAAACATTTCTTTTCTTTAAAATTCAAAGTCTCATAAAGCAAATGCTGGTATTAAAGATGATATCAAAAATTAAGATTGTTTTAGGAATTATTGAATTGTTCTACAAATGTGCAGACATAATCAGTAATGTAGTTTTTATTTTAATCCTGACAAAAATAATTGTAGGCATTAGAAATACAGAAGAGAAAAGTGGAGGAGGAGAGAAATGCTGCTTCTTCACTGAAGCGAGAGATTCAGCAGCTCTCGGAGTCATGTGAAGAGCTAGAAAAAACACGTCAGAAAATTTCACAAGAGAGTCAGACAAAAGACAACCGCATCTCGTGTTTAGATGGACAGCTGTCTCACACCAAAGCACAGCTCGACACACAGACCCAAAAAGTAAGTTCTGGGGAAGAACTACAACATTTTATCAGATTAAATGTTTTAAATATACATATATTCCTGCTAACCTTGGAGATACTACTTATTGTAGGCCTCTAAGCTTGAGCTGGAGCTTGAGAAGATTAAGAACAATCAGCAGGACAGCTCCCATAAAGTGGACCAACTTACAGCAGAGAAAACCAGACTACAGCAACAGGTGGACTCAGTTACACAGGAAGTCCGACAAACCCAGGAAATAGTCAGGTAAAACTCGAGAAAGGATTTGATGAGTTAATAGTGGCTTTTTGTGGTCTCAGAATGTTTAATTTTCAGCATTGCAGTAACAAAAGCATATTCATTTTAAAATGTTAATTTTTTGAAAACATTTTCAATAGTGCCTTAAAGAAAAAAGAAGTTAATGACCAGAAAAAACTGGAGGAGAAAGAATCAGAGTTATACAATGTAAAATCTGAGCTGAAAATCACCAAAGACAACCTGGCAGAGAAAAACAAACAAATGAGTGGTAAGTACTGTAAACCAACTTTTATTTGCATGCGAGAAATATTCGCGAGTTTTGTGACCTACTTTTAACAGGGTTCGACACTAACTTTTTAACTCTGGTGGACCTTCATACATGTAAATGAATGAATTCATTACACAAGGCTTGAAACTAACTTAGGTACCCATTCCAGTCAGACTAATAAAGTACAAGCTTAAACAGTCAATAGAAACAATTAAATTAGTCAGGAGTTTTTCAGCAATATTGTTACACATATTTCCAATATTTTAAAAAATAACGTATTAATCTACATCTTCCAAAAAATTATTTGAATATCATTTATTTACAATGGTAAAAACTTGCATTTATATGCTTCTAAAGGTAGATAAAGTTCAAAATCCCAATTATTAACCAAGTTGTTTATATAAAGAAGTGAATTATTCATGTACATGTATCTATGGCTAGAAGAATTTTTAGTACGATGCCAAACTGACATAAGTGTATGTATTTATTAATTATTTTTTAAATTTATTATTTATTCAGATAAACTGTGATCATTTAATTCTTTTATGTGATTTAATGTACATGTATATCAGGAAAAAACCCCAGAAACTGCAGATAACCTGTTCATAAAATGTAAATCATGCCTGTTTGAACATAAACAATGCATGAATGCAGCTGTCAATCAATCCTAATTATCGCCAAAACTGACCATCAGTGTGCATTCAGGCGTGAAGTGATTTCCTGTTACCCAGTGTAATTTTCACACCTTTCTATATATATTGCATATATTAACATTGACTTGTGCAAATGTAAAACTTGATTGCCAGAAATTTAAAAGGAAAAAAGAAGCTCAATATTTTATGTAAATGTTTAGAAGAAATGTAAAGTTATGTAAAGATTAAGATATACCTTTCTATCAGAAATAGTCACTGGCCGTATTGGACAAGAACACTAAAGGTTTCACTTGCCCAAGCTTAGAATTTACTTGCCCTGGATAATCGGCCAATTGTTAATGTTGATTCCTGGCATATGCATTTGTGAATTATAGTATTATTTTAGGAAGGAATTTAAAAGTGTTTTGTTTCTTTTACAGATGCACAAAGGAGCTGGAGTGCAACAGAGGAAAAACTCAGGGCTACTTTACACGAACATGAAATTGAGGCTAAGAAATACAATGATAATCTCTTTAACAAAGACAAAGAAGTAAAGGACCAACAGAGCGAACTCCGAGGTTTACAGAAGCAGATATCAGACAGCAAGGCTATTCTGGAAAGAAAAGAAAAGGAAATAAACCAACTCAACTTTGTCCGTGAACAGCAGCAAGGAGAGCTTGACGAGTTACAGTCAAAGCTGAAAAAACACCAGGAGGATTATCACTGTCTACAGACTAAACACGACCAGCTACACTCTAGTCACCTCTGTACACTGAATCAACTGCAGGAAATAAAGAAGGAGATAGAAGCCAAGGACAAAAGTATGTCAGAACAGCAGGCTAACTTTGACACTCTGCAGGCTCAGATGTCTGAGAAAGAGTCCAGCTTACAGGGTGAGATAAGTGAGCTTCACACCCAGTTAGCTCAAGCTCATTATGCCACAGAGACAAAGAACAAGGAAATCACGGCCCTGGAGATGCAGATCCTATCAGTTCAGATGCAGTGTGACTCTGTTACCCAGGATTCCCAGAAGAGGTTGGAGGAAGCGGAGAGTAAAGTTGCAGAATTAACAGAAGTCAAAGAAAAACTGACTGACATAGAGAATTCTAAAAATGAAGAGTTGAGAAACTTAAGGTTGGGATTTGAGGAGGCAGAGCAGAATGTCCAGAAAGCACAAGCCGATCTGGAGACTTTGCAGTCAGAGCAAAAAGAAAAAGATGCTGAATGTGTGGATTTACAATCAAAATTACAGCAAGTGTCTGATGCTCTCCATGATAAGGAAAAGGAATTGAGAGAAGTCTCAAACAATTTGTCTGAACTGCAGGAAAATTCAGGCAGAGAACATGCAAAATTAACAACAGATCTTGAGAACATGAAGTTACAGATGGCAGATTTATCTGAGGAGAGAGACAAACTACAGGATGCTGTTAATAAGAAGAGTGCAGACATCACAGAATTGGAAAAGGAACTGAAAGAAAAGAATAATGAGATAAAGAATCTGAGTTTGAGATGTGATGAAATGAGAAAGGAGAATGAGGATCTAACAGCTGAGAAATCCACCATACAAAGTCAGTTAAGCCAGGCTAATGATGCCTTGACAAGTAGATCAAGAGAGCTGGAGGAAACTCGTACAAGATTGGAGACAGAGAACCACAAACTCATCACAGACCTCACAAACAAGCAAACTCAAGTCTCCTACATGAATGAACAAATTAAGAAGATGAAAGAAGACAAGGAAAAACATTTACAAGCATTACAAGTCAAATCACAGGAAATCTGTAAATTGGAGAGTGAAATTGAAGCCCTAGTAATTGAGAAAGAAAATATTGTAAAATTATCTGAAGGATTAAAGGATGTGGAGAGAGTCAAGAATGAAGAAATTCAGAAACAAGAGAAACAAATTCAGCAACTAGAGTCAATTGTTGAAAACAGGAAAAGTGAAATACAGTCCCTGCAATCTGAACTTGAAACAGTGAAAAATGACTTGTCGAAAGAACTTCAAAAACTCTCTGAAGAAAATGAAACTCTCTCTGTGAAGCAGGCATCCCTGATTGAAAACCATGACAAATTAGAACAAGTCCTCAAAGAGAAGAGTTTGGAATTGCAGACAGTGAGGAAAGATCTAGTGGACAAGCAATCAGAAATTAAAACTCTTCAAACCGCAAATGAGAATATAAGTGAGAATCTGGCTCAGAGCGAAGCACTTTCAAGAGACCTTCAGCATAAACTTGAACAAGAAGATGAAGTTGTGAATTTAAAATCTTGTGAACTCTCATCAACCTTGAGAGAATTGGAACAAATAAAACAGACTGCTGCTAATGAGCAGCAAAATCTGGCCACAAAGGTACAGGACTTGGAGAAAACCAATAAAGAAGTGATGGAGGACAAAGAACATTTAAAATATTCTGTAGAGGCACTAGAAAAAGAGAGGGAGAAACTGCAAACTTCCATCAAAACTCTCCAAGAGGAGCAGACAACATTGTGTTCACAGCTGGAGAAGAATACACAGGAGACAACAGAGAAAGCCACAAAATTAGAGGAATTGTCCAGAAGTCTTCAACAAGCAAACGAAGCCATGTCACTGAAAGATAGTGAGATTGGAAAGCTGAGGGAAGAATTAAAATCTGTAAATGAAGAGACTTGTCTTGAGATTGAAAAAAGAGCACAGTCTTTATTACAGCAAGAAAGTGAAATAAATTCTCTGAAGGAACAGTACCTCAAATTAGAGCAGGCCTGTGAGGTCAAGGACAGTCAAATTTCATCATTAGAAACAAAACTAAGTGAGAACCAACAGACATTAAATGAGCTACACGGCAGTTTGGATAAAGAGGTGGAGAAGGTTAATGATGCAGAAGCTGAATTAAAGGATTTAAGAACAAGGAGCAGCCAGGCAGAGGAACTGATTAAAGAAAAGGAAACACATATAGATTGTCTGCAAAGAGAAATAAGAGAATCACAGAATAAATTTTCCTGTGACATGGAGAAACTCACTGCTGAGAATTCAGAACTGAAAGTTCAATTAGAAGAGTTGAGTTCAGAAAAAGCAAAAGGACAGGAATTAATCGAGAGCACTTCGTCTCAGAAGGAAGCTCTATTTGAGGAAGTAAAACAAATGAAGGAGGACCTGCAGAAAATGGAGGCTAAGAATGAAATGTTGCAGATGGATATGGAGGACAAAGATGAATGTATAGAGACACTTGAACAAAAAGTGTCCATGATGGAAGAATCGGTAGAGAGCTTGAAGTCACTGACTGCAGAAAAAGACAAGGCTATAACCTCACTGAAGTCTGAAGTAGAAGAGGTCACTGGAAAATTGGATTCACTGATGAATGTGAATGAGGCTTTGGAAAAACAACTGAATGAAAGCAAACTTCACTGTGAGCAGCAGTCATCTGTGTTAGAAATGGAGCGGTTGTCACTAGGGAAGAAAACAGAGAGCGTTGAACAGCTACAAAAGGAATGTGAGGAGTTGAAACTGAAACTGAAGTCTGCTAAAGACAGTGAATGTGAAAAAATCACTTTACTGGAGAAAGCTCAGTTAAATGTTGATGATCTTGGAAACTCTCTTGAAAAGTACCAGGTAGAATTAAAAGAAAGTAAAGAAAATATAAAAGTATTGGAATCAAAATGTGGCCTGCTTCAAGATCAGTGTATAGACAAAGATCAGAGTCTGACAGAAAAACAAGCAGAAATTAACAACCAGATAACTCATATTAGCACACTGGAAGAGACTGTAGCTCAGTTACAAGAAAGGTTGAGCAGTGTGGATGAACTGAACATCAGCAAGGACAATAAATGTGCTCAGTTGGCTGAAGAGTTAACTGATTTACAGCAAGAGTATCAACTAAAGATCGAATTGTTGGAACAACAGAACCTGTCTCTAGAGAGGTACACAGAGAAAGTTCAACAGATAACTCAAGAATCAGAGGTACTGGAGAGACAAAGAAGTAAAGAAACCCAGGACCTGCATGTGAAGTTACAGTATAAACAGGATATACTCGACCGAAAGGTAGCGGAACTACAGAAACTGAAAACCTCACTTGGGGATATGGAAAATCTAGTAAAGTCAACAAACAGTGGCCTAGAGAAGAAAAGTAGTGAAAATCAGACATTGCTTGCTCAGATAGAGGAACTGCAGAGAGAGATGTGCATGTTGAAAGAATCTCATGAGGAGAAAGAGAGGTTACTGAAGTCTCAGAAAGATGCAAGTGAGTTCATGGAAATAAAATTAAAGGAAACTCTTCAGTCAAAGAATCTGGCTGAGGAAACTTTAGATAAGGAATCCTCTGAACTGAGATGCAAAATTGAAACAATGGCAGCTGAAATTGAGGAAAAGAATGTAAAAATAGAGCATTTTCATGGAGACATGGAAGCCAACCAACTTCAGATTCAGTCACTCCAAACTCAACTAGAGGAGAAGAGGAACCTGATTTCAGAACTATCTGTTGTTATTGAAACTAAGGAGTCATCAATCACTGAGCTTAAAGAACAGATTGAAGAAATTGAAGAAAGTAAGTCTTCCCAGAACAGAGCACAACTTGATAAAATATTTGAAAAAGATAAAGTTGTTGAATCATTAGAAACCAGGATTCTGGAACTCCAAGGTCAGCTTGAAGAAAAACAACAGCAGCTGAGGACAGCAGAGTCAGATTTAGAGGTTCAGGTGACTGAATTTGGTAATAGACTTGAACGTAGCCACCAGCAACTGCAGTCTTCAGAACAGGAAATTTGTCATCTAAAAGAACAACTCAAAGAGGCTTCCTCCAAAGAGCTGGAAATTCTGCAGAGACATTCAGAAGCAGAGGGCCAGGCATCATTGTTATCTTCAAAGGTGGAGGAAATTACCAGGCAAAGTGAATCTCAAGTGAAAAATCTCCAAGAAAAGGTTTTATTCCTAGAAAAAGAACTGTCTGAACTGACCACAAGCAGTGCTGGATTGAAAAGAAATGTTGAAGAGCTTGAATTCCAGATATGTTCAACAGAAGAGCAGAACAGAGCACTTGTAGAGCAGAAAGCTAAGCTGGAGAGCAATATGTCAGAAAAAGTAAAGAAAATTGAAAATTTAGAAGAGCAGGTACAGGGACTAGTATTACAGACACAATCAATCTCTGTGGAAAAAGAACAACTTCAAAATGAAAAAGAATTATCCCAAAAAGAAGGAGATGATCTCATTCAGTCATTAACAGACAAGTTGGAGAAATTGGAGGGAGTTTTAGCTGATAAGGAATTAATTGTGTCAGAAATGAGTGATAAGATTTTAAAGTTACAGCAAGATTATGAAGAGGAAGAGAACGTGAGATCTTTGCTGAGTGAAGAAAATGATGAACTACAACAGAAATTACTTCAGGTGGAAGAGAGGCTGTCTGAGGTGGAAATGGAGAAGGTTAGAAATGAGGACAGGATGAAGGAGCTGTTGTCTCAGGACGCTAACAACAGGGATCAGATAGGTCAGCTCGAGGAGGAAATCAGAGCTTTACGAAACTCTGTAGAGGACTTAGAGGTGCTGAAAATAGAACTGACAGAAAAACTCGCTGATGCTGAAAGTAAGCTTCGTCAGAAAACTTCCGAGTTTGTAGAATTAGAAAACAGTCTTCAAAGAGCCAGTGAACAGATAGAGGCATTAAACAGTGAGAACAAGAAACTCCTGGAGACCAATGAAGAAAATCTGTTGAAAATTCAAGAAGCTGAAATCCAAATTAAAGCCAAAAATTGTGATGTTGTAGATAAGGATACTGTTTTAGCTGAACTGGAAACTAGAATAGAGGATATCATTAAAGAAAAGGAAAACATCTCTTTACAAATGCAGGGTGATATTAATCAACTATCTACTGAGGTAGATTCACTGAAAGAGAAACTTTCTGAAGAAAAAGCATGTAAAGGTGCATTGGAAGCCAGGGTCAATACTGTCACTGCCTCTTATGAAGAGGTTTGTAAGAAGAATGAAGATTTACAGTCTGAAACTCTGCAGTTAAAAGAATCAGAGGAAAAATTCAACAATACACTGTCTGAAAACCTCACACAGATTACCGCACTTCAAGACCAAATTCATGGTCTTCAGCAAAATATTGACATGTTGTCAAATGAAAAAACTAATTTACAAAGTAGACTGCAAGAATCTGAATTAGTCATTGAGTCAAGCCAGGGTTCTATTGAGAGTGTGCAACAACAGATAGAGGAATTACAGAAAGAAAAAAGTGTGTTACAAGACTCTGTAGAAGCTCTCCAGAAACAGAACAGAGACCTTGAAGAAAGGCAGCGTGAGTTAACGTATGAAACTGAAACAACGAGAACAGAAATGGAACAAATGACCATTACTCTTAACAACGAGATTGAAAACAAACAGCTGATCATCAGAGATCTAGAGGAGAAAATGGAACTAATTAAAAATCAGTTAGCTGACAATGAAGTGACAGCAAAAAGAAATGCAGAAGATTTTGAATGTGTGAAACAGGAGCTGGAAGAAATGAATGAAAGACTGTGTATGAAAGAGAAGCATATAGAAGATATTGAGGAGACTAAAAACCAAGAAAAAGAGAAATCCACTGCATTAGAATCACAGCTCAACGACCTTCACTTACAACTTAATAGTGCCAAAGGTGAGAATGAACATCTGAACTGTGAGTTACAGAAAGTGAAAGAAGAACTTACTCGGAAGATTGAAATGACTGAGGAACAACTGTTGTTGACCAAAGAAAAAGATCAAAATATTGAGGCAGTTAATAATTGTCATGAAGCAGAAATGAACTCCAAAATTAAAGAAATAGAGGAATTAACATCTCAAGTAGAAAGTCTCTCTAAAGAAGTAGCTGAAATGAAAAGTAGGATTTCTGAGGTGAACACAGAAAAGATTTCTGTTGAAGATGAATTGCATAATTTGAGGAATTATGTCATTGGTTTGGAGGAAGAAAGAAGTTCCTTGGAGTCTCAGATCAGTGCTTCACAATCAGAACTACAGTGTACCCAAACTTTTACCCAGAATGCTCAGCAGCAGATTGATGATGCCAATGAACAGTCCAGAGGTCTGTATGAAACTGTACAGAAGTTAGAGGCAGAGAACCAGGAAAGTGTCAGTAAGATACAACAGTTACAGATTGAGAACCAGAGACTGCAGATCGAGGCAGAGGAGAAGGAAGCAAAGTTAAAAAATGACCTGGATGACCTGCAAGAAAAATGTCTTCAGCAACAGACAGAATTGGATATAAGTTTAAAGACCCAGGAGGAGCTGAAAGGTAAATTTGAGATGATGGAGTGCAGGCTTTGTGAGGTAGAAGAAGAGTTGTCAAAATCAAAAGAGCTTTTGTCTCAGCTTCAGGAGGAGTTAGATTTGAAGACATGTGAACTGACAGACATCAAAGAAAAGATGGTTGACTGTAAAGAAGTACAAAAAATTGAGAATGAAAACAAAGAATTGAAAGAAAAGATTGATTCTACGTCAAAAGAATTAGAACAAGCCTACTCAGAATTAGAATTGATGATTGTGGAGAAGGGAGAGGCTCTGCAAGATCTTGATATGGTTAGACAGGAGAAAGAACAGCTTAGCAAAGAAATGATAGAAATGAACCAAAGAATAATTAAGTTACAAATGGAAGTCGAAGAAAAGGAAGTTACTGTGCAGGAACAGAAACAGAGGCTTGTGTCTGTCACTGAGGAGTGTGGAGGGGAAGTGAAGGAGATCAAACAAGTCATCAGCTCCTCACTAGAACCCACCATCGTAGAATACCAGTCTATTGTCAAAGAAAAGAAGAGACAGATTGTGGAGAAGGAAAATGAGTTGCTGAATCTCCGAGGCAAGATGGTGGAAATCAGCAATAAGCTCAGTGAGAAAGAGGAGGAAATTGCAAAATTATCAGAGACTTGTGAAAAATTAACCAAAGAGAAGGAAGACTTAAAATCTGACATGGGAACTTATCAAGATGCCATGGAAAGTTTGGAAAAGGAAAATGAAGTGTTTTTAGCAGAAAAAAGTATATTGGAGTCTGAATTAAAAGAAATATCAACTGAAAGGGATGAGTCTCTTCAGTTAGTGAAAGAAATGAAGAATACGATACAGGAGATGGAAGTTAATGAACAGAAGAAATCAGAGAAAGTAGAACAACTGTGGAAAGAGGAAAAAGAGAATCTGAACAATAAGATATTGTCCATGGATGCTGAGATCATGGAATTAACAGATAAATTATACAGCCAGTCTCAAAAGGACACAGCAGCCAAGGAAGATCTGGACGTGTTACATCAGAAAATTAAGGAATATGAGGAGGAACATTGTAGATATGAGAAAGACATCCAGAAACACCAGAACAAGGTGGAGGAATTGTCTATAGAGTTAACCCAGAAAAAGGAACAGCTTGCTTCATCAGAGATCAGAAACCAGAATTACAAGGAGGAATTGGACAATCTACAGAAGATACTGAGAGAAAAGACAGAAAAACTGGAAGATGTGCAGACATGCCTTGGAACCAAGGAATCAGAAACAAAGGACATGGAGCGACAGATTGCTGATAAAGAAAAGATAATCCAGGACCTCCAGCAGCAGAATTCTAACAAAGAGAAGGAGAAAGGAGAACTTCTGTCCGAGTTCCTGATTCTCGAGGACCAAAAAGCAGAACTGGAAAAGAGGATTGCCTCCATGGAATTAGAGGTAAAGATAACCAGTTAACCTATAGTCAGCTACACAGGATTTTTTTTTTGTTTTTGTTTTTTTTTTTACATATGTAGCTGCTAAAATCTGTATCATTTGTTTTTTTTTCTAGTTTGCTGATGCAAAGAACGAAGAAAAAAGAAGAGCAGGAGAAGAGATTGAAAAACTAAGGGTGTGTATTTAACTTAATGTAGATTAAACAATCAGGAAGTTGTTTTTCTTTTTAAAATTTAAAATCCATTTTTTGGGGGGGCTAGATGGAGTACCAAGAAGAAATTGTGAAACTGAAAGGGCAAATACAAACAGAAAGTAGCAAACAGATGGAGATGGAAGAGCAGCATTCTAAGTATCTGCTGGAAATAAAAGAAAGTCATCACAGCAAGATGCAAGAGGTGAGATATTTATATAGTAAAAGTCCAAAAGCAATAATCTTCATTCTGTTGATTCAGGAGTTTGTATATTTACATGTATGTAGTAAACTTCAATTATCATGTGATTTTCAATGTGCTGTTGGGTTCTATCTTGGTAGCTACAAGACAAACATAGAGAAGACAGCAGAAAGCTTCAAGAACAGTACGAGGCAGAGTTGAGTTTACTCAAAGACTCGTTATCCCAGAATTCAACTGCTGAGGAGGAAGGAGCCAGACTGAAAACAGAAAATGAGAAGCTGGAAAAAATGGTAGAAAAGTATAGAAACAAGATGGAGGTCAGCGAGAGAAAAGAGACCAAGCTTACTGAAAAGATTGTAGAATTAGAGTCTGAGATTAGAAAGTCAAAGGAGCAGAGCAACAAGTATGATGAGGTATTCATATTTCTGAGTTACTTGTCAATGAGTATCTATAGATCTATCTATACATCAGAGTTACTACTGGTCAACAAGTATGATGAGGTATTTATACATCTGAGTTACTGGTCAACAAGTATGATGAGGTATTTATACATCTGAGCTACTGGTCAATAAGTATGATAAGGTATTTATACATCTGAGTTACTGGTCAATAAGTATCTACAGGTCTGAGTTACTGGTCAATAAGTATCTATAGGTCTGAGTTACTGATCAATAAGTACAGTGTGATGAGGTATCTATACATCTGAGTTACTGGTCAATAAGTATCTACAGGTCTAAGTTACTGGTCAATAAGTATCTATAGGTCTGAGTTACTGATCAATAAGTACAGTGTGATGAGGTATTTATACATCTGAGTTACTGGTCAACAAGTATCTACAGGTCTGAGTTACTGGTCAATAAGTATCTATAGGTCTGAGTTACTGATCAATAAGTACAGTGTGATGAGGTATTTATACATCTGAGTTACTGATCAATAAGTACAGTGTGATGAGGTATTTATACATCTGAGTTACTGATCAATAAGTACAGTGTGATGAGGTATTTATACATCTGAGTTACTGGTCAATAAGTATCTACAGGTCTAAGTTACTGGTCAATAAGTATCTATAGGTCTGAGTTACTGATCAATAAGTACAGTGTGATGAGGTATTTATACATCTGAGTTACTGATCAATAAGTACAGTGTGATGAGGTATTTATACATCTGAGTTACTGGTCAATAAGTATCTACAGGTCTAAGTTACTGGTCAATGAGTATCTATAGGTCTGAGTTACTGATCAATAAGTACAGTGTGATGAGGTATTTATACATCTGAGTTACTGGTCAATAAGTATCTACAGGTCTAAGTTACTGGTCAATAAGTATCTATAGGTCTGAGTTACTGATCAATAAGTACAGTGTGATGAGGTATCTATACATCTGAGTTACTGGTCAATAAGTATCTACAGGTCTAAGTTACTGGTCAATGAGTATCTATAGGTCTAAGTTACTGATCAATAAGTACAGTGTTATGAGGTATTTATACATCTGAGTTACTGGTCAACAAGTATCTACAGGTCTAAGTTACTGGTCAATAAGTATCTATAGGTCTGAGTTACTGATCAATAAGTACAGTGTGATGAGGTATCTATACATCTGAGTTACTGGTCAATAAGTATCTACAGGTCTGAGTTACTGGTCAATAAGTATCTATAGGTCTGAGTTACTGATCAATAAGTACAGTGTGATGAGGTATCTATACATCTGAGTTACTGGTCAACAAGTATCTACAGGTCTGAGTTACTGGTCAATAAGTATCTATAGGTCTGAGTTACTGATCAATAAGTACAGTGTGATGAGGTATAGATCTATAGATCCAAGTTACTAATAACTGGTCAATAAATAAGGGAATAATGAGGTAACGAATTCCAGAATTTCAAGCAATGTCCCTATAAAATGATTCAGTGTTTTACATAAAATTAACAATCTATGACGAATTCTTCAAAAATTTTCTATAAAGTTAAAACATCAGGATTTTCTCATGATGATAACATGTAAACATCCTTAATTTTGTAGAGATTTGTTCACCATGGCTTAGGAGTGGATCATAACTGGAGTTATTTCCCTTATAGTAGCACAAAAAATAAATTTTATAAAGTTTTTTTTCCCCACTATTTACAATGAATTAAGACCAACTTAGTGCCTATGGTTTCCAATTAAACAATTCCATAGAAATGAAGGAGTGATATGGATTGGGTTAGCATTGTGGCCCATTTTCCTTTTATCAATAAAAGGGGGGGGGGGGGGAGTGAATAAAATTAAGAATTTTCTGTTTTTATTACAGCAGATAAAATGTGTATTTGATAAATTTAATGCTTTATACATTTTTGGGTTGATAAAAAGACAGCATTATTATTAAAGATCATTGTGTGAAATTATATATATTTTGTAGTTCTTATCAAAATGGGAGAATAAATGTACTCGGCTGTCTACAGAACTGACAGCAGAGAGGAATAAGAACCACAAACTGAAAGACACCCTGGACAGCAAAAAAGTGGAACAAGAGGTAATGTATGCCCAATGCACTGTATAGAAGTATAAATAAAATAAGGGTTCTGCTGCACAAAACATTGTCAGGTTATCCAGTGGTAAACAAATCTGTATGTTATATGTTTATATGAGTGAAATGTTTTGCATTTAGGAGGAAGTCGCAACATTGAAGAAAGAAATTGCACAGCTACATCAGAAGGTGGAAAATCTTCAAAAGTCAAGTAAGTGAAAAAATCACACAGATAAACACAAGGTGGAAAAGCTATTTCAGGAGTCAAGTAAGCCAAAAATTGCACAGCTGAACACGAGATGGAAAATCTTCAAAAGTCAAGTACAATAAATCAAAAATAACACAATTGAACACAAGGTGAAAATCTTCAAAAATCAAGTAAGTCAAAAATTGCACCTCTACACAACACATCTACACAATGTGGAGGAGCTTTAAAAGTCAAGTACATTTAAATCAAAAATCACACAGCTGCAATGCAAGGTGGAAAATCTTTAGATGCAGGGATTAGTATCCCTTGTATGCAGGTCTGGTTAAAGGACTCTGTGCCAATTGAAAATTGACTCTCAAAATTAAAGTAAAAATTCCCAAATGTCAATGAGATTGAATTTTTGGATGCTTCTGATCAATGATCTTGGAATTTTTAGATTATATACAGATGTTCGTAAAGGAAATGCCTTAATTCTAACTGCCTTTTTTCTACAGTAAAACATAATAAGTCAGAATGTAGTATATGTATTAATAAATGCTACTGGAGGGTATTGCTGAAAAAAGAGTTTAAATCAGAATACACATTTGAAAATCTCTACTACTAGTCAAGGTGAGTAGAAAGTAAGACAAGTTATACAAATGCATTCTATGTGAAAGACATCAAACCTGACAGATGTATAGTGCCTCAGGTCAGATGTGTCATTTTGTACACTGCGCAGGAACGACTGTACACGGGACCGAATGTCCTGTGTTTCTGTACATGGGACCAAATGTCCTATGTTTCTGTACACGGGACCAAATGTCCTGTGTTTCTGTACACGGGACCAAATGTCCTGTGTGACTGACAGTACACGGGACCGAATGTCCTGTGTTACTGTACACGGGACCAAATGTCCTATGTTTCTGTACACGGGACCAAATGTCCTGTGTTTCTGTGCACGGGACCAAATGTCCTGTGTTTCTGTACATGGTACCAAATGTCCTGTGTTTCTGTACATGGTACCAAATGTCCTGTGTTTCTGTACATGGGACCAAATGTCCTGTGTTTCTGTACATGGTACCAAATGTCCTGTGTTTCTGTACATGGTACCAAATGTCCTGTGTTTCTGTACATGGGACCAAATGTCTTGTGTTTCTGTACATGGGACCAAATGTCTTGTGTTTCTGTACACGGGACCAAATGTCTTGTGTTTCTGTGCACGGGACCAAATGTCCTGTGTTTCTGTACATGGTACCAAATGTCCTGTGTTTCTGTACATGGGACCAAATGTCCTGTGTTTCTGTACATGGGACCAAATGTCTTGTGTTTCTGTACACGGGACCAAATGTCCTGTGTGACTGACTGTATACGGGACTGAATGTCCTTTGTGACTGTACATGGGATTGATATCCTGTTTGACCAAAAAAACTTTTGCATAGGCAGCAAATGTGACTGTGATTGAAAAAAATAAGTCAGATAGGTAAAAAAAAAAGCTACAACTTAAGATCAAAAATATCTGTGAAGTAACTGTAGAAAAATCAAACAGCTTCTCTCTAAAGGCAGGTTTGTAACCAAAAAATAATGAAACAGCTCAAACAAAATATAGTAAATCTAAATTAAAGATCGTGTTATCTAAGTGGAAACAATGCTTGGAATTCTGTGAATAACATCCATCGAGTATTAAGTCTAAAATAAGTTTAACCTTAACCATGGTGTTTGTTGAATTTAGAATGACTGTGTATGAATCACACTGATTTAAGTTGCTTCTATTTACATAAGGCTTTTATTTGTAGGTAAGGCCGAATCTTCACAGAAGCCTACAACAGCTAGAAAAGGAATATCATTGTCAAGATCACCAAGATCAGCTGGACATTCTAAAGTGGACTCTTCAGGGGTCAGTAGTGGTCAGATAAACTCTGCCCCTCCTGTGGGAGGAGTCACTATTGTCAAGCCAGAGGCCAGGTTCCTACAGGTGCCAGGTAAAGGAGTAACACATAAATCTCCCAACAAAGGGAGGTCACCCCAAAATTCACAAACTTCTAAGTCTCTGTTCTCCAAAGATAAGATTCAGAGGATCGGGGAGAAAAGTGCTTTTGTAGGCAGAAGTAAATTTGAGCCTGTGACTAAGCCAATAGGAACTAGTTCTAGTTCATTTCAGCCAGTGACTGCCAAGCCTGTAAATAGTGCTATTAATGCCGAGAGCATAAAAACATCAGTGTCAAGTGTAAGACCTGTGAACTCTGTTAGTGCTACATCGGACTCTGTGAGGACTAAGGGGCTCTGGAGTGTCCCCCAGTCACAGGGAGGATCAAGTGTCTCCTCCACAAAGGAAGGATCAAATTTGCCTGGAAGTACTGTGCCAGATTCAGAGAGACCACGTACTGGGGAGAAACGGTTGTCCTCCGAAACCCAGGATGAGATTGTACCAAAGAAAAAGAAGAGTTTAAATGGTAGGTACAATACATTTATCTATAAATACACATTTACATTTACATTTGTGTGTTACTCTGCTTAAATTTTTATTGAATGCAGACAAAGGTCTTAAATTAATGTTTACTCTTCTCTTTATTTGTGGAGAATTTATTTTTTTTTTTTTGTATCCCGTTATGAAAATTTGGAAGGGGGCAGGGGATTATGGGGTGTCTTATGTCCCTCGCCCAACTGTGGCTTTGACTGAGTGAAGTTAAAAATGTTCATAGTAAAAGCGTAGCTGAGATTACAGTTGAAGACGCAGGTTTTATGGAGTTGCTTTTCTAGATAATTAAAGTGTATGTATATTTTGCTACAGGTCCTTGTGGACAGGAACCCCCCCCCCCCCATTCCCCAGGTCCAAGGATATTTTTCTTCTTTCATAAATTATTCTTCTAGCACACATTTACAATGTAGTCCATATAGAAATTTCAAAAATAATAATAATAAAAAAAAAAAAATAGATAGATAAATAGATAACATTGAATAAATGTTTTATTAAAAAATCATACCCCCCAGTATTATAACAAAGAGAATGTAAGTCACTTCGGTTTGTTTTCATTGGACCCCTCTTGGGTATCAGGCCTAAAATACCATTTAACTACTGCATGTCACCAAAAAGTGTCATCCTTTCTTGTTTCAGTAAATATTTTGTTTTTCATCATGCTATTTAATTGTCCATACATTCCACTATAATCTGACTATTCTTCATTAAAACCAAACATGAAAAATGCCACAAAATTTGGAAATCAAAGGATAAATTACAGAAGTGATGCAAAAATGAAAAATGACACTCCAGAGTTCCGAGTGATTTTGAAATCAAGGGAAAAGTCGGAAATCTGTGAAAAGTTCGGAAAAATTTTAATAAAGATTTAAGAAGCCAAAATTGAATTATGAGAATTTAATTATGCTGCAGGTTTTTAAGATAAGTGCAAGTATGTTTTCTTGGATGAACCTACTGAAGAGCAAAAATGTTCATTTCTGTTTGAATTTTTTCAAGGGTCAAGAAATCATTATATTATCAAAATTGTCAAAAACCGTCGGTCCTGTTGGCAAGGCTGATAAAAATTTGTCTGAACCGAGAACTTACTAGAAAACATTGGACCAAATGACTTTGAAAAAATTGGGCTTTATACAAAATTTTAAAAGATCGGATCAGGGTGTGCAGGTGAAGGTAATAAAAAGAAAAGATGGACGAGTGGCTTTGGTGTTTCATCAACTTTGTTAAAGCACAGACATAAATCATATTATTTATGTCTCTGATTAAAGGCCCTCTATCTTAGAAAATAAAATTGATGTGAGATCAAATGATGTTTAAAAATGAGGCATTTTGGTGTATTTATTGATTTTCCTTTCTGTACAAATCTGGTCTGACAAAACATTGTCTGGTCCAACAGAACCTTTGACTTAGACCAAATGTCTAACGGTGATTTAACAATTTCCACAACTGTGTGTGACCCAGCTTGATGACAATAGGACATGAAACACTTAAGGCTTCATAGGATTTGATCGTGTGACCAACTAAGTTCATTTTCCAGTAAACTTTAATTCTTAAATACAGTCAAACTTTGTTATCTCAGACTTGATGAGACCCAGAAAAAAACCTGATATCCAAGAAAAAGTGGTTGGGACTTTTAATTCACTTTGACTCATCCATGGAATTCGAGATATAGACATTCAAAATAAGGAAGCTCAATTGTATATAATACTTGAAAATGGGCCAAGCATTGATATTCATATTTGCACAATGGGACAAACTGTTTTAAAATCTGTTGGATCATTATTGGGATCGGGATCAAAACTGAAAAGCACATCTCTATTGCTAAAAATTGGCACATTTATATTTTTTTCAGCTCTAACTTTAAAAAGTTTAAGCAGTATTAAATTAACAGAATTATTCTGCATCCCACACAGGTGTTGAAAAGCGCCCTCTGCAGTCCATCACAAACAGTCCGGTGAAGAAAAAAATAGAGGAACCTGAGGACATAAGTTTGGGACCTGCCAAGAGGGCACTTAGTCTGAAAAAGTCCCCTGCCCGGCCTCTTAAACCTCAGAATGAGATCACATCATCAGAGGAGCCTAAAGAAGATGAGGATTGTGTTATTCAGTGATGGAATGGAGTTTATTGTAGTACCAGTCAGGGATGGGAGATAGTGATGTCGAACTGCTCTCTTTAAAAACAGTGTTTATACTTCTGAATGATTGGGTGTTGTTAAGTGATGTTATATGTGAGGTATCAAGTGATTTGAATGTGGGGTAGTATTATTATAAATGTACAATGTATTTGTTTTGTCTGTCTATTTCCTGACTTCATCAATTTGTCATTTACCATGTTTATGTAGATATCATGAAGTATTAATTTACAGCATGCATTTTATCACGTAGGCTATTCCCAGTTTATTAAGAGGTTGGTGAATATGTACATAAGCATTTCCTTAATAAGCTTTTGCCAATAAATTTTAACAGTAGAAATTTTGAAATTATTTAAATTTTATTAATTAATTTGTACTGTTTAAGATTTTTATATGCTTGTTTTTCATTGTCTATTACATATGAACATGTTATTTTCACACTCATTAGATGAAACTGGTTCTGTCTTGAGTTAATCTGCAAAAACAATTTCACTTGAAATATGTTAAGTATTGCTGTAAAGACAGATTCCATGTTTATGTGTTATGTCTCATGATAGTCAAAGAGCTTTCTAACATACTTTTGTTAAAATATAATATAATATTCAAATATTAGTGACATTGCAAGAAAGCAATCAATTTTTTAAGAGTTCTCAATTTTTAAAGCTGTAAGTCAGATATGAAACCACACATGAAATAGAGATTTAAAAAAGCAGGGGATATACAAGCTGTAATAATTTATTAACTAACATGGAGTGGACACTTCATTATCCTGTCTCTGCTCTCTTTATTTTGTTTCACAGTCAGATTTACCGTATTTTCTCTTGTATACCATTTAGTTATATTTTTGTATATACTGTATTTTGACTTGTGAATCAAGTGTGATTTCTCTATGTATGAAAAAAAATACAGAAATACTAATGGACATTTATTATGTTTTGTTTTATTTTAAAGTCATGCAACATATTTTTGCTAACAAAACTGTAGAGCTGAGGAAAGAAGGGGGAAAATTAATGAAAAAAGATTACCCTAATGGCCAGTGGCTCACAATGTCAAGGTCATGTACAGAATATTGGCCAGTGCCTCACAATGTCAAGGTCATGTACAGAAACTTACAGATTTTACAAAAGGACCTACAATTAAGACCAAAAACTTTAGTTGATCGTAAAATTTTGCAAAATTAATGTTTTTGTTAAAATTGCTGGCATAAAAATATTGCTCTAGATTCTTTTTAAAAAGATTATTAAAATCATTTTAAAATAAATGTAAAAAAAAAAAAAAAAAAGAAAAAGTTATTCACAAAATTACATTTTAATTTAGTCGCAAGTTCCTCTGTAAAATGGGACCCTGGTGTACTATGTATAAAGTGTAATGTCCGAGTACCTCTCCATTCCTTAAAAGGAATGGAGCCTACACAGCAAAATGTGCCATTTAGAAGGCATTTCGTGCGTGAAACAAACAAAGGTGTTGGCCACACGTATTTTAGTACCACATACGTTTTCACACGTGAATGTCATGTTTGACACGTACGTTTAACACACGTATATAGATAGTTTTCAGTAGGCCCAAATTAGCAAGAGTTATTTCCCGTTGGCCGCCATATTGGAGGTCAACATGCTCATATTCCTTCATTATTCAACCAACTTTAACTTTTTATACTGGTCATTGTGAGGTAGGAAGCATTTTTTAAAGAAAAATATACATTTGTTAAAGCCTCCTTAATTTCATAATTTTTATTCTATAAAGATTTGTCCCCAAATATTTCTGCTACACCCTCTTAGATTTGGTAAGACAAAGAGGAAAAATTACCAGGTTGACCACCAAGATGGCGGCCAAGGGAAATAACTCGGAGAGAAAATATGTCATATGAAAACTATCTATTGACTACCATATGTTACACATCCGTTAAACACGTACGTCATTCATATGATTCACGTATGAGCTACGTATGTTTCTCAAAACATGCATGTAGCGTGTTTGTTGAATGCACTGCTCATATGATAAATGTATGTGTACCATACATGTGTCAAACCAGTGTAAACATATGTTTTGAACATTATTTTCACAGTAAACATAGGTGAAACAGATGATGTGCAATTAAAATATTCAATCCAAGCATCTGACATAATTGCTCATTAGGCAATCTCAACAAAAAACATTCAAAATTTAAGCCAGATTTAATTTTGAGTCTTTTAACATCAATTCATTTTTCTGCATTTCACTTTTCTCTGAAATTAAGGAATTCTTGTAAGGAAAAACATGTTTTTTTTAAACATTATTATTTTCCAGATATAAACCCCAAGTTGATTTCTAATAGATCTGTTTGTTTATTACTCTCAGACCATACAATGGTATATGAGGTAAATGAACATATTTACATATATACAAAATACAAAGTCAAGTGAGGAAGAGTAGTATCAAATGAAAGAGTATTACTGAAAACAGGCCAATATCTTTTAACAAACAAAGACAGTTTTATCAGTGAGTCAACATTTGTGGTGGACATAAGATTCTCAAACTTATTTATAAGTACTTACATGAAAACAATACTTCTTATCAATAAGTTTTATACGTAATGAGGAAAAGTATGGACACTCCATTACATAATGGAATTCATCACCTAAAGTATTTTTATTACATGAATTACATATTCTTAAAGATCTGTCAGTATTAGTCCATCTACCAGCTTCAATTGGAAGTTTGTGGTTACAAATTCTAAATTTTGTTAATAGAATTCATAAATCTTTTGGGAGTTTACTTAGGTACATTTCTCTTCCAAAATTGTTTTTAAAAATCCTGTAATTTAAACATTTAGATGAATTTTCTATACTTATATGCCAGTCTTGTAAAAATTGACTTAACAATGTCTCTTTCACAATAGATTTTAACCATGAAATACTAAAAAAATTTTGATTCATCCACACATAAGACAGACCACATGAATTCAAAATATCTCTTATACATTTCAACCATGGATGCATAAATAAACCTTCAGAAAAGCATTTATGGAGAAAGCAATACATTATGTATGTTACCTTACGTTCATGTGACATCAAAAGTTTAGCCCGATAAGTAGTCATTCGTACCTTTATACGTATTATTAAAGGGTATCGCCCAGTTTCCCCATATACCATACAATTTGGAGTGCTGGATTTAACATGTAAATCAAATTTCAGAAATTTTAAGTGTACCTTTTCTAAAATATCTATATTTTCGTAGCCCCATACTTCACACCCATACATCAAAATTGGGCTTATAACTCTGTCAAAGAGATCTATTTGACAATCTACTGGCAAATTAAAATACCTTATTTTTCTAAGTACTCCATACATGGCTTTTGATGCTTGTTTAGTTAAATGTGTTTTGGCACTTCTGAAGAAACCACTACGAGACATGATAACACCTAAGTATTTAAATTCGCTCACAATTTCAATTGGTGCACCTCTATACAAAAATATTTTCTTTGGTATTCTTCCTCTAGAAAAAAATACTATTTTAGTCTTGTCTGTATTTACTTGAAGCTTACAATGGTCACAATAATCAGAGAAAATATTCAAAGATCTTTGTAAATCCTCTGGATAATCAGATAATAAAACTGTCATCAGCATAAAAAAGTATAAATAGTTTAAACATAATCTACATTTCAATTTCTATTTTTTCACTAAAGCTCGTAACCCCTTCAATATTATTCTGCAATAAATATTTTTCTAAATCGTTAATATATAAAGTAAAAAGAAATGGGGATAAATATTCCCCTTGTCTTACCCCAAGGTTACACATGAACAATCCGAGATATTTTGATCAATATATGTCTTCGATTTAATACCACTGTACATATTTTTGATAAATCTTAGACATTTACCATCTATACCACTTTTAAACACTTTGGACCACAAACCAGATCGCCAAACAGTATCAAAGGCTTGTTTAAAATCAATAAATGCACAATAAAATTTTTTCTTACTAAAAGAAACAAATTTACACAAAATATGTAATATCAGTATGTTATCTATTAATTGTTCCATATCCTTTTCTAAAGCCAGCTTGGGCTCCAGTAATCAATTCTAACTCATCAACAAAAATATTCAAACGTTCACATAAAATACTGGTAAATACTTTTCCTAAACAGCTTAATAGTGTTATTGGTCTATATATAGTTTTCGGGAAGAGTTGGGTCTCCCTTGTTTTTATATATTGGCTTAACGATACCAATAAGCCATTCCTCAGGTACAAAACCAGTATCAAAAATCAAATTGAAAAGGTCAAGATATAGTGGCAAAAAACATGATATTGTTGTACTTATATATTCGTTACAGATTTGATCATACCCTGGAGCTTTATTATTTTTCAGTTTGTTAACTGCTTGCAAGATTTCTTCTGCAGAGATTTGACAATCTAAAGGGGAGTTATTATCGAGATTGACATCATTATCATCTACATCACCTTCATCATCTTTAGATTCATTAATTTTTTTCAAAAAATCGTAAATTGTTTTGATATCTACTTCAGTTTTACATCTAGCCTTCGGACTATTTAAAATTCTCCAATATTCCTTAATATCACTTTTCTGTATATTTTCTAATTTTGACGTTATAGATAAAGAATGTTCTTTAATACATTTATCCATTGTTTTCTTGTATTCTTTACTTGTAATCTTAAGATTTTCGGAGTTCTCCGGGGTCTAAAACATAGTGTTGAATACCAGTACATACGCATGAAGGTTTAAATTATGTTTCTCAAAACTAAAAAAATTGATTTTCCAACAGTATTTTAGTACATGTATTGATAACCTTTATCTTTTAACCTTGACTTTTCACAATCCTCAAATTTGAAAAAGGTGTACATGTATTTTGAGTGAATTCAGGAAATAAAGCCCCCAGCTGCATTTTTTTTAAACTGAGATTTGGATATACATATATATATGTACTCAAAAGTACGTCACAGTCACCTACTTTTTATGAATTGCAGTTATTCATATTATAGACATTGTGAAGCTTAATTCGGATCATTTGATGCATCTTGGGCTCAGATTGTATCAAGCAAAAACTAAGCCACATTGAACTACTTTCTAATTTTGATGGCTGAACATTTTGAAAGCTTTTTAACCTTTTTATTTTGAACACTATGATATGTAGGGTCACTAAACCTACCAACCAGTATTGTTGTACCAATTATCAAAAGAGCTATTATAGGCCATGGGCCTCTTGTTTATAAACCCATTTGATGGAAAATTCAATTTTCAAACGGTAGGTCCTTTTACCAAGGTAGAATCCCAATATCTCTCCAAATTTTACAGGGGTATACGTACATGATGTATGTTTATTTGGACAAATTAATATTGACAAATTTCAAGAACAAGAATGCAAATCGAGAATTTTATAAACATTTTCTGATGATGTTCGCTATGGTGGCAGAGGATAGTTTTTTTTAATGCCAAACATGTGCCGAGGGGGTACACATATACATGCGATGCATAAAAACATGTACATGGGGACAGTTTTCCAGGGGCTAATTAATTACACTTCATATGCCCATGGCTCACAAATTATGTCAACAAATTACATGTAATCTGCGTATTAGCGTGCACATGTACCAAAAATGCACCTGGGGACTCCCCAAATTTTGGCTTGTTTTTCCAAGATTTGGGCCTCATTCATACCCATACAACCCATCCCCAGGCCCGAGCGAGCAGGATAAAACACCCAGTAGTCTGTAAATCAATGCAAGCCCTAATAAAAATTCACCAATTGATATGGGGTCATTCACCTTCCCTCTGAGATACACACCTTCTTCTAAGGCCTACTGCTTTTCAGCTGAATTTCCTCTGCAACTGACCACGTGTCCTAGTTTCGCATTTACAACTCTGTATATGATAAGCGTCATAGTGACACCTACATGTTGCACATCATTTTTTTCAGCAAGCACTCTGCTACACTGCAAATGTGTCCCATAATTATTCTAATCATTTTTCTACATAAAATATCACATCAAACAGGGGATATC